GAGAATTATAAACTCACCAAGGCTGGAAAATCCTTCTAAGATCAGAATCCAACCATTAACCCTAAGTCACCTGTTGTCATCATCCAAAAATGCAGAGAATTATCATCACTGAGGTTGGGAAGGCCCCCTAGGATCAGAGTCCAGCCATTAACCCAGCACCACCACATCCACACACCTTCCGGGGATGGAGGAGTGCCCTGAGCAGCCTGTTCCAATGCCTGACAACACTCTCAGTAAGGAATTTTTTCCTAATATCCAATTTAAACCTCCCCTAACACACCCTGAGGCTGTTTCCTCTCCTCCTGCCACTTGTTCCCTGGCAGCAGAGCCTGATCCCCACCTGGCCACCATCTCTTTTCAGGCAGTTTTAGACAGAGAAAAGATCCCCCTGGGGCTACCCTTCCTTAATCTCAACAGCTAATGAAGATCAGATAATGTTCCAATGAAGGTAAAGGGAAGCAAATGTTCAGGCAGCCTTTCCAGACAGTATTTTAATCAGGAGTAAGTATTGATCATAAAGAAAATATTTACTCTGTCCTTTTATTAATATTCATTTAAATATTACTCTTTGGCCTTGTTTTTCATGTGAGTTTGCCCCACTAAGCCAACAGTTTTCAGATGAGATTCCCTGCAGAATAATGACCTCAAAGGCAAACTTTTCCCTTTTTAACATCCACCAGAGCTAAAAACAACTTTTCCCCTATTCTTCCTTTCTGTGGAAACTGAAGAAAGGGAAAAAAAAAAAAGGAAGGAATAGTCAATAAGCACAGAGAAGAAAATAAGCCTCAAGCTTCCCAAAGCACACACTTGTGAACAAAGGCCATGGAACAAGGATTTTAAAAGCTCTGTTTATCTGCAGAGGATGGCTAAAAAGACCCCACACTTAGAGAACCAGTGCTGAATACAAGGCACTATTGGGAACTGTGTTCAAACACTTTATTCTAATCCTGTTATCTCCTCAACCTATTATTTTGGGGATAAACACTAATGTTTTATATCTATCTTTCCTTTAACCAACCTTCAACCCCATGTCTGGTCTTAACCTGAACCAATCTCTCTCTTTTCCCCATTCCCTGCTGACAACTCTTCCCTCTGACTGACACTTTACTGGGTTATGTCTCAAGGTCATTTCATCTTTTCCTGTTCCAAGTCACAACCTAGAACAGTCCATGGAAAAGCAAACTCAAATCCAAAACACAAAACCTGCAAAAAACAAATGAACAAAGCATTTGTGCAGGGTTTGCCATATTTTCTGGCAGTTGGCTTTCCCTTGAAGGAGGTAAGCTGGGATTTAATGTTCAGTATTATTTTCTATAGATCAAATATTAATTAAGTAATGCTGTCCTGTAGAACACCAAAGGCATCACCAGTGGGGTAACATGCCTGAGCACACGCTGCTGACAGAAATTTAGATATTATCCAGTTTAATAAAACTTCTTTATGCTCATTTAGAGCAGGACCTTCCATAATTACCTTATTGGTTTTATCTAGTTAAAAAAAAATTCTTTCAAGTCCATATAGAGACCTTCCATTCAGTGTGATCAAAAACTGAAACTTATTAATGATTTTGTAAGAGTTGTCCTGATATCTGAGCTAATGCTGGACCATCCTGGCCATGCTTTTGCTCTGATGCAAAGCTGACAGCAGTCAAGAAACAAAACAGACAAGGGCAACTTTGTAAATGAGCTTCTGTTGCTTGAAGTGGAAGAGAAGCCTGGTCCTTCCCAAATCCTGCTCATTTTCATCTCTAAATAAGAATCTCATTGCAACTTGTGCTTGAATTGAAGGCCAGCAGTTACTCAGCCATCCCAGAACAAAAAAAGATTATAAAAATACAGTCTCTCTATGTGAAAAGAGCCTGGGCAGAGTATTGGGGATATTGACTTCCTCTCTCTTAGAAGGTTGCAGCCACCTTCTGTTTATTTTTACACTGATTTCTAGAAATTTAAATAAGTAAATGCTTCTCCAGTACAGGTGATATTCTCTACTCTTACTTGTGCAATCAATTTTGTTACCTTTATTTGTGGCCTTAATAAAGACAGCAAAACACCAAACAGTGCAGTAAAACTGGGCTGCTCCGATCACCTGCTGGTTACATACAAATGTGTAGGAGTTTGGTACTTCCCTCTTGCTCAGGAAAAAGTAAAGACAAACAATAAAACAACCAAAAAATTCACATTAAAAGAAGCAGCATCACTCATCCCCCAACTATTTTAAAACCCCTCAATTTTCCCTGATATCATTTATTAGGTACTCTCAGGAAAATCAAGGCAGCAGAGCTGTTTTCTCAGTTCAGCACATTTTTGAAAATCTTCACCGTGAAAGTTTTGTGTAATTACCCTCAAAATGGTGTTTTGAAGGAGTTCCACGACACATGGAAATTGGAATAATGAGTTGCATTTTCTTGTCTATCATTTCAGTTGGCATTTGGTGAAATTGTACATCTTTAGCTATTAAATCTCTCCCTTCCTCCTGGTCCACGCTTAGACAAAGATCATTACAATCTCTCCTACCCAGTGCCCTAAACAAAACATAAATGCCATCACCATCAATCTCAACAAGGCCTGTATGACAGCTAACATTAACAGAATGACCTTCTCCAGTTAGATTTTCATTAGTAAAATAGGATGGAAAACAGAAAGTGCCTCAGCTTTGCCAATTTGAACAAATTATCCACGTCATCCTTCTCGGAGTCAGTCAATACCTGAACTGGGCAGGAAACTCAGCAATCTGGGACACAGGACAAGATAATATTGAGCACAAAGCCAACTCTTTTTTAATCTCAACTCCTGAATTAAGCCAAACCCAGCCTGTTTTACAGGTTGGCTGCTGCAGAGAGTGTGACTGCAAAGCGACAGGACATCAACTCCAGAGGAAATCTGAGCATGCCACATTTCCATCTGCAAATGTAGAGCCCCAGGCCAGGCCTGCAGTGACTGCTGGTGAGGTCAGAGAATTTAGCCAGACTAGGAAAGGAGAAGAAAGCCAGAGGGTGAGCAGCAGAACATGTGCCAGCCTCCCAAACAGGCAAGGACATCATCCACGTCACCTGAAGCTTCCCACACAGCTGCTGCAAAGCCTTTAACATCTGTGTTCTACCAAAGGACAGGTGCTGAACCAAGTAAATACCCCCATGTCAAGGCCTCATGCTCAGATTTATTTATTTTAAACCAAATCTTCTCAAAGAGGCACTTAACATTCACTAATTTACAATCATCATAATAAATGTGCCACCCAAAACACAGCCAGCCTGCCAGGATTCCTCTCTTGGTAGAGACAGGGGATATTGCTGGAAATGTTCCTGCCACTAACATTGCACAGCTTAATCCCATCCTAGAATGTTTTTGGGTGTTTTGAATGCTTTCTTCCCACTTCAGATTTGCTGTTTGATCAGAAAGAGTAATAGGAAACACAATGTTCTTATAAGGTTTTCATTTCTTAAATCCACATGTAAACCACTAATTTGTGGGGAGGGAAGGAGGGTTTGCAGCAAAAGGAGAGAAGCCTTTTAATCCCTGTTCTTTGTTCACACCACAGTAAGGACCTTGCAAAAATTACAAAAATGCAAGAAATTGAAGTTGTGTGGTGGAAAAAAACCTGTGAGGCAGAAAAGTGCTTTGCTCATCCCCTTGCCAGGCACAGGGCTTGATTTCACTTAATGGCTAATGATTAATATATGACAACAGGATGAATAGCCAATATATCTGAAACATGAGCAACATCATCCGTCAGTTCTTCACAGGAAGTCCAATATGGCTTAGAAAGAAAGATGGACTACTTCTGCCCCTGGATAAGCACTGATCCATTCCAATATGAACAAGAAAAGGAGAGAGATACAAGAGTTTGAACACAGTCCTTTGTCAGAAATGAGGGGGGAAATGGAACACAAAAATGTATTTTAAAAATTTACTATTAAAATTAAATAAATTATTTATAAATTATTAAAAAAATAAATTATTATTAAAACTTATTATTTTTTAAATTTCCTCCTTCACCACAAAGCACTCAAATTGATATCAGTCAATTTGTTAATATTCACTGAAGATCCACTATCCAAGAACAATATAAACTTTGTTCTGCACTTAGAAGTGAAAATGTTATCACAGCCTGGTCTTAAGAACAATTTTCTTACTGCAGGACTGGTGGGGAAAAAAGTTCTTTGCCTATTCCAACAGCAAGCAACCTCACTCTGTGGCAAGAGTTTGTCAGATAAACCACAAGCATGAAACCAACAGTTCTTAAACAGCTGCCTGTGCAACAAAACCAAGTATTCCAGGATGCATCCAAATTCCCAGTATCAGCTCAGAGCCCTGCTGAAGCACCTGCAGCAGGGATGTGTGGCAGAGCTCTCTGGCTACAGGGAGCAGGCACAGGCATTCCCAGGCATTTTCCCTGGGGAAAGCTGTGAGAAAGCTCAGAGAAAGAATTAAAACAATTCCTATCTCCACTTGCTGCACCTGTTGCTAGAGGCACACATGGAATGTGCTATGGAGATTTGTTTACCAAAGGGTGGTGGTGTTTTTGTTGGTTGACCAACGAGGTCAAAGCTGTATCAGACAGGCTGGAAGGGGTTATGGGTTTCTTAAGAATATAGTAATAATATAGCATAGAAGAATAAAGCCATGGTTCAGCCTTCTGCATCTTTAAGCCCACAATTCACCCAAATGTTTTCCCATTTTCCATAGACTCTTTACAACAGCTCTTCCTCCAATTCAGAGAACATGCTTGGGAACTCCTACCATGACGTAGTGCACATTTTCCTCAAACCTGCTTTCCACAGCAAGATGGCAACACCCTTTCTGCACCCTCTGTAAACACTCCCACATGCCTACACCGATGCCATTTGTGGTGTCACCAACGGTAGGTTCAGCCATTGCACCCTCAATTTCCCTGTGTGCACAACCACAGGTGTTCCCTCCCATGTCCCAAACAAGAGGAGGCTAATTCCACCTTGCATTGACAGAGCACCGGGTAGGGAGTGGCAGCAGCAGAACCCTCACCTGCACACTTGGTCCTGGTGGTCAGGGGGGGCCCGGGGGGCCCCGTGCCCCCTTCCCCAGGGCGCGTCAGCAGCACGCGGATCTCGTACTCCACGTCGGGGTCCAGGTGCCACAGCTTGTAGTTGGGGGAGTCCACGATGTGGGTCTCTGCCCAGTTGCCCGTGGTGGTCCTGTACTCCACCTCCTTGAGGATGATGGGCCCGTCCCCGATGATGGAGTTGGCGTTGGGTTTGATCCACAGGTACGTGGCCCCCACGGCCAGCAGCTCCGGGGGCGCGATCGGGGTGGGAGGCTCTGGGGACAGAAACAAATCACGAGGAGTCAGAAAATGTCCAAATTCCCATCCCAACAACCTTTTGTAACCTCTCATTTCCAAATATTTTATAAGAATTTAATCTGTTACTGGAAAGAATTAGGCTTGTGTCACATTTTCTGAAAAATCCCTTTGCCCAGGATTTTTCTCCTGGGAAGCTGAGAAGCCTCAGAGAAAAATGAAAACAATAATTGTCTGATTTGCTTCTCCTGTGTTTTGCTGCTTTGGAATGTGGTTGGACATTGTTTACCAACAGTTAATTGTTTCCTTCATTTCTGCTCTGAAAAGTGTTGACTTAATGACCAATCACTGTCAAGCTGTGTCGGACTCTGGAAGGAGTCACGAGTTTTCTTTATTATCTTTTAGCCTTCTGTTTGTATCCTTTCTCTATTCTTTAGTGTAGTTTAGTATAGCATTCTTTAATACAATATAGATCATAAAATAATAAATTAGCCATCTAAAAACATGGAGTCAGATTCATCATTTCCTCCCTACGACAGAGGTCTCACAAAATACCACAGGCTTGGGGTTTTTCGTGCTTATATTTCAGCCCCCTTGCACTGGGGGTTGTGTTACCAATTGAGAAACTCCTGTGAAAATACAGGATCCACAAAACAGCTTTCTGGTTTAAAAGTGCCTTCATAAACCTCATAAACATTTATAAACCTCATCATGAGGTTTATATTTGCTCCCTCTTTTAAACATGTGAACAACAGCACTCAACATCTCAGAGAGTGAGGGAAAGAAACCCTAAATAAAGACAACTGAGTGCCCTTAGCACAAACCATGAATCCAAGGGTTCCAGCACAGCCCTTCCTCTGCCCTGTGCCCTGACACAGCAGAAGATCCCAGTCACTGATCCTGGTGCTGTGGTTCAGCCAAATTCTAATGCTTAACATGACACAATTAGCAACAAGAGGAAAACTCAAATCACTTGTTCATTTTCTGATCTTAACCCCCCATAAAGAGAGAAAAACAAGAGGATGTTGATTTTCTAATCAAAGCACTGGCTGAGACAATATCAGCAAATTTAAACCCCAGTGATCTTCCCATGCCCAGCAGCCAGGATGCTGTTGGAACTGGCTCTGAGTGGGGCTCTTGGTAGTTCAGAATAAAGAAAACTCCAAGGCAACAGTGAATCAACACCTCCTGTGGTGTTTGATTGCAAAGTTTGCTCAACTGCCTGGGCAAAGGTACTCAAGAAAGTCTGCATGACACCTGAAGAGTGCCTGGGTGTTTGAGGAGCAGTATAAGGAGGCAGGAACCAGCTACTGAGTACCACCTCTGTGAGAAAAAGCAAAGCAAGCTGATAAAAGACATCTCTCTCAGCAGCTCTCTTTGATGGAAGCTACAAAAAAAAAAAAAAAAAGAAAAATATCTACAGAGCTCTGGCTGCCTGCCTGATTTTTATTATTCTTTTTCCCCTCTGTCAGTGTAAATAACACTTGCATTCTGGAAACCACCTGAATAGCATACACCTTGTGGCTTTGAAAACCTGAGCTGAACTCTGCAAGATTCTGAGCAATTTCCTGAATCTTGCCCAGCCTTCCCTCTGCCACACTCTAATGTGGTCTGCCCTCAGCCCAGAGGACACAAACTCTATTCCCTTGTGAAAATCAGGTGATAAAAAAAGAATATTTTTATCAACAGGGGCTTAAAACACTGGCACAGGATGCCTGGAGAAGCTGTGGCTGCTCCATCCCTGGAAGTGTCCAAGGCCAGGTTGGACATTGGGGCTTGGAGCACCCTGGGATAGTGGAAGGTGTCCCTGCCATGGCAGGAATGGAATGGATGAGCTCTAGAAGTCCCTTCCAACCCAAACCATCCTCTGATCTCTGTCTCAGGAAAAGAAACACAGAAATGTTACAACATAAGAAATTTGGAGTTCAGTGGGAGTCATTCTAAGCCCTTCTCTCTTAAAGGTGATTCCTCAAAGAACTGCAAGAATCCAGGACCCAAGGAAAAGCGGAAGAAAGGACTTTGAGTACCACATGATGGGAGGAAGATTGGATTTTCCCCTCAGGATAATTCTTGCAGGTTAAGATCTGCTCAGTGAAGAGAAAGAAACTGCTGTACAAAAGGATCAACTGAAATTATGCTTGATTTCATTTCCTTTAACTGTTTACAACAAATCATTCTATCTCCTTGAGACTGACTGCAGGAGCTGTGTGTTGTACCTCTGGAGAAAAAACAATCTGGATTGTAATTGCAGCAGGTATCCAACATGAACAAAAATCAGTGATGCCAGATATGTTTTCTGTGGAATGGCTGTTTCTGCTTTAATTCTGCACTATTCCATAACTCCTGCCAGAATCTTTTTCTGATATGAAATGCCAGGCTGATTATGTTTTGACTTACAGAGTTATTTCTCCAGGAAAATTGTTTTCAAGAAACATGTGTGGATACATTTTCATTAAAAATCAAATTAACATAGATCACAAGCAGTTTATTACTTGTTTCTTGGTGCAAGGCAATTAAAAGAGAGATTTGGTTCTTTTTATTCCCAATGCAAAAGCTACATCTTACAAGTCACATCATAGCTGAACACAAAACAAATGAAATATTAAACTCCTTTCTCCTGGGCTGCAGATTTCAATAGCAACATGATACAGGCTACTTTGGGATTTCATGGCAACTTAGAAGAGATTTATGGGATTGAGCTTAATTAATAGAGCAGTTTATCCTACTAGGCAGGCATGAAGATCTCATCTAGTGAGTTTAGTAATCACTGTTGCCAAACTGATTTAAATTATGATGTCACCCAGCACACCCATCTTCCCTACTTTTGTCCCAATCCAAATCATCTCCACCAAGAAAAAAACAAAAAAAAAAAAAGTGATGGTGGTGTCTCCTCTTTCCCCCAATTATTTTCCCCTTTCTCTACCACTGAACAAACAGGTGCTGTAAAATGTAATAAAAGTAGGAATTTAAACTGTTGCTCCTGCATTCTGAATTTAAGGAACTAAAATAAGCAGCTGTTCCAGTAGTTTTTAAAGAATCAGTCCCACCTCAATGAAAATAATCAATTATTTCCTACTAGCACCAACTGGAGCAAAAGCTTTTACTTTTTTAATATCACTCTGTGCCAAATTACTGCAAGTGATCTAAACAAGTCCCCCATTATTTAGCAAAACTGGCACATAAATGAATGAGAACATTTTTTTCTCTGTGTTACAAAAACCCCACTTGCCAGTTACAGATGACCAGCCTGATGTTATGAGCTCACTATTTTAATTAAAATCTCTGTTTGACCTTGATTAAACAAACATGGTGACAGATTGGCCTTGTACACATGTAATTGTGAACAGCCATATTTTAAGCCCCATTTCCTTCCAACACTGTTTTATATCACAAGCTTTGCCTGGCCTGGTGCTCCCTTTGAGCCACTCTCCCACCTCCTCCAGACAGAGGAGGAAACCAACAACCAGCACATCTGGAACTGGATTGCTGCTCCTGGGATATCCAGCTGAGCCCCAGACTTGGGAATGACACAGAAAAATTTGCTTATGGATGCTCATTAAAAAACAATTAAAAAAAAAAAAACAAAAACAACAAAAAAAAAAAAAAAAAAAAAAACCAAAAAAAAAACCCCGACCAAAAAAAAAAAACCCCTAAAAAAACCCTAAAAAAAGCCCTAAAAAAAACCCTAAAAAAAAAAAACCCTAAAAAAAAAAAAAAACCTAAAAACATATGCAGTTCAGGCTCAAAAAAAAAAAGGGGGAAGTTTTTAACCATGAGCATATTTTATTGAATCTAAAACCAGGTCCTGTTGTGCAGACCCAAAGGGAATTGGGGTGTGTCTTTCTCCTGCTGTTAGGACAGACAATTCAGCTCCTGTCTGCAGCTCAGAAGGCTGAACACTGTTAGAACTCAAAAATGACATGAATTCTTGTAATGCAGAGAGTGTGAGAAAACAAAATTAACATGAAAAACCAGAATAGACCAAACAGAGTCACAGAGGATCTCAAGCCCCACAAGGATCAAGTCCAAATCTGTTCCTTGCAGGACCACCTAAAATTCCATCATCCCTAGTGACAGGACAAGGGGTGATGGCTTCAAACTGACAGAGGACAGGGATAGATTGGATATCAGAAATTCCTCCCTGGCAGGGTGGGCAGGCCCTGGCACAGGCGCCCAGAGCAGCTGGGGCTGCCCCTGGATCGCTGGCAGTGCCCAAGGCCAGGCTGGACATGACCCTGGGACAGTGGGAGGTGTCCCTGCCATGGCAGGGGTGGCACTGGATGAATTTTAAGGTCCCCTCCAACCCAAACCATTCTGGGATTCTACAAGGACAAAGAGCATCACCCAGACACTTGCTCAACTCTTACACTCTTAGTTCCATTAACACACTACTCTCTAACTATTGTGGAAAACCAACCTATTTTACTCTTTGGCAAATATTCTGAGTGTTTCTACTCTGCTGCTGGAATATTTCTCTACTTGGCTTTCTAAGCAAAGCAATTCTAAGCAATTTTTACATGATGGAAGAATAACTGGCTCCATGAATGCTTAAAGATGCCACTGGGAAGACTGAAAAACTTGAGAAAAATCCTCAACAACTGTTACCACTTTCTCCTGTGAAATAATCCATAAAGAAAGACATTACAGAAAATGCAATCTTAAAACAGCTGGATACACCTCCTCAACTATGAATTTTATATGATTTTTTTTAATTTCTCCCTTTTCCATAACAAAACCATCTGATAAACTGTACAGATAAACTGACTATGAACTCTCATTGGCATGGGATGGGCTGTGGCTGGTTTTAGACAAAAAGAACCTTTCATGTCACAAAACTCTGGTGTATCCCCAAGTGCAACAATTCCATGTTTTGTTTTCTCACATGCACAGGACAGAGCTCAGGTTCTAAAAATAAGATCAGAAGAGACACAGAGGTTCTTATTCTTTGAGGGTTGAGAAGGTGAAGATGGGACCTGCTGCTCAAGGACCTTTCCCTGACAAGCAGGATTTGTGTTTTCCA